ACAATTCAGTGCCTAATTCCTCCGCCACTTTTCTAAATCATGGTGAGTTATTTTCTAAAGCAATTGTGTTAATCCATTTTTTCCCCACAGAAAAAGCTCCATCCGTTCCCATCATCAGCCGGCAATCCAACGATAGTGCAACGTCCTGCAGTGTTGCAGACCGAGGGTCCCAAAGAATGAAATAATTTTATGATTATTAATAATGAGACAAACAGCCAGGAATGAGATAGAGCAGAGAGCATAAAACAGGGAGCCAGCAGTTCTTGACTGAAGACCCCAAGTCATGTTTCTCTGTGTATTTATTGATAATCTGGGGAAGCAAATAACAAAAGGAATTCCTTGTAAATGAAGGCTCTGTTTTTCTCTATTGTCAGCCTAATGCTCTAGCTCAGGAAGTATTTCCCAGGAAGTAACACTCTGTAGGGGGGCCCTAACTGTCTCCCGTCTGCAGGGAACAAACAGGTTATTTTCTGGGATCTGCCACAAGAGAAATCCTAACTTATAATGCTGTAATTCCTTCAATTCCTGAGCAAGGATTTTCATATAATATAAAGTTTGGCTTCCCATACTGCAGATTGACCATACTTTGCATGACCCTGCGGACAGCAGACTCGGGAAGCAGAGGCTGAGAGGGAGGCCTTCGATGACACGGGCTGACACTGGGCTCCAGAGCAGGAAGGGCCATGGGGACGGTACTGGCCAGGCCGGGGCTCGTTCCCTCGTGCACAGGGCCAGCGCCCAGCAGTGATGGAGGAGGCTGTCTTTGGGGCACTTTGGGTGGTGGTTTTTCTGTGAAAAGCCAGTTGTTCTTTCCTGCTGTGTCTGCCTCTTTCTCACCTTTTCACAAGAGGTCTTTGTGGGTTCTCACTGCAAGTTCTCAATTTTGTGTCAGTGTCCATGGCCAGGCTACTGAGAGTAGCTTTCTTTATGGTGTCTTTTACAGGAAAAAACCCAAACCCGAGTGGAATGGCCGCTTTCCAGCCGAGTGCCGCTCTCAGCGACCAACTGAGTGCACAGCAGCACTGACCCCCCAGGGCTTCCAGGACACTTCGGGGATTCAAACCTCTCTCCCCTTGTGGTCAGAGGGTGAGCACGTTTGCACCACCTGCGTGTTGCTCACGGAAAGCATTCTTCGTGTTCGTGAGCTGATACCTTCATTTAGCAGCTGTCATTTCTGCTCTGTAGACATCAGTCTCCAGTCCAGCTGGGCTCCACTCGTTTGGCTGAGCCAATGACACTGCTCTTCCTGCCCAATCAACGTCAATGTCAATCCTGGTGCCTCACGTGTGCAGAGCAGAAGTTCCCCAGGGGTTTTCCGCTGTCTCCAGAGGCCGCCTGGGTCCAGTGCTTCACTATCCACACCATCCTGGAGCCCGGCACTGTCCACACCGGCAGAATCGCCAGCACTGCCCCCCTCCTGGCCCGTCTGCTGCCCACACGCCATCAGCCCTGTCTCAGCCTTGCACCTCTGTGGGCTGCCCAGGGTTCAGCCGTCAGCTCCCCGCTGCACCATCTTTACCGCAAGCCAGGGTCCTGGTGCAAAGTCCCCAGACTCGCTCTCCTACAGACAGGCTCAGCTCCTCGCTCTGCACCTACCCATAAACCTCACACAACTCAGCCTTTCTAGTTTTGTGATTAAAAAACCCTGAACAGGTGCGATATTTAGCGTAAGAAACATGGGTTAATGTGGGAATGCCAAATTAACCACCCTTTAAAGGATTTCCTATGCCCTGTCAACTCTTTCTACCCTCGAAGACAAGAAAGGTCTCTGCAGTAAATACAAGTCTAAGATGACCCCTCTGACTTGAACTGTGAAGCTCGTTCCTGGGATGGGGGTGGAACCTGTGGCTGTGACCAGACAGGCATTTCCAGGACCAGGCTGTCTACGGCATCAAGGGAATGAGGAGGATGGATGAGGAAAAGGTGGACAGAGGAATGGACGGGCAGGCAGACGGAAGGATGATGATGGGTGGAATGTTGACTAGACAGGTAGGTAGGTAGATAGATGAGGGAATGAAAGAAGGGTGAGGAGACGGCTGGATGAGCGGGTGGGTGGATGCAGCAGGTGGGAAGATGATGGTGAGCAGAGATGGATGGATGGATGGACAGCTGGACGGACGGATGGTTGGATGGAGGATGGCTGGATGGATGAGTGGGTGGATGGATGATGGATGGATGGATGATGTTTCAAAATCAACACACTTGTTTCCATTGGGAAAGTCTGCTGTCAGAGACCTCTCTAAACTGGTAAAGAGCAACGATGTCAGTCTGGAGACTAAGGTGCACCTGATCCAGGCCATGGTCTTCACAATTACTTGCTATGCATCTGAAAAAATGGACAATGACTAGGGATGATAGAAGGAGTGTTGATGCCTTTGAGCTGTGGTATTGGAGAAAGAGTATTGAATATACCATGGACTGCTAGGAAAACAAAGAGGTTCGTCTTGGAAAGGTGAAACCAGGCTGCTTCTTGGAGGCCAGACAGGACAGTGGTGGTTTGTTGCACAGTGGGTTAGAGATAGATGGATGGATGGATGGATGGATGGATGGATGGATGGATGGATGATGGACGGATGGATGGATGGATGATGGATGATGGGATGGATGATGGGTGGATGGACGGATGGATGGAGGCTAGATGGAGGGATGGATGGATGATGGACGGATGGATGGAGGCTAGATGGAGGGATGGAGGATAGATGGATGGGTGGATGGATGGGTGGATGGATGGATGGATGATGGATGGAGGGATGGATGATGAGGGGACCGAAGATGGACGGTGGGTGGGTGAGTAGATGGATGGAAGAAAGGGTTATGGGAAGTTCAGTTAGAAGCGCTTTCCCAGAGCACTGCTTGACCATAGGTGGAGACACTTGACTACAGGCCCCAGGAGGCACCACCTTCATCAAGTGCTGCGTGAACTCCAGGAACGGGACAAACAGGACCTATCACCTGATGGGACACTGTGTCACTTCTGGGCCAGTCCTGGCTCCTTGCCCCATGTCCCATGGCTCCAGCTCTCCCTGACCCCTTAGGACCTGCAGTACCAGTACCAGGGTGTTAACAGGGACCATGTAGAGACCCTATCCAGTCCCCTCCCTGTGCCCAACCAGGACCTGACACAGCTACAGGCCAAAGGGTGACAGGTGCTGATGACCACTGTAGGACACAGAGCACTTGGCACTTCAGGAGTTTACTGGAGACACGAGCATATGCCCTTTGCTAGGTGGGTCTTCTGAGCGGGCCACCCATGTCCCACAGTGCATGGAGTAGGTTGGGGCTGGGGGACAGAGGAACCTGCTGTCCCATCCCCACCCCTCTCCCTACCCCACCGCTGCACACCCTGCCCCTCCCTGGGCACTCACTTTCATAATCCCCTCCTCCCCAGTACAGTTCACCAGAGTTGACTCCTGGGAATGTCTCGGTGAAATCTAGACGCTTCCATCATTCAACCTCATACATACTCAGGGCAGGGTCCACTCCAGCCCAGCAGGCCAGCCTCAGGGTGCGAGGGCTCTGAGAGGTACCTACCAGAGTTGGGGCTTCGGTAAGGTAGAGCTGGTATCAGTGTTTGGAGGCCTCAAGTCAGGGCTTCAAATGCCCGCCCACCACCACAACCCAGGACAAAAGGTGTGGCGTGGGCACGGCCAGGCCACCACTCACAGTGGTTCCCTCACCCTGTGTGCATGTGACCGGGGTGGACTGGGCGCCTGTTGTGGGACAGAGGCTGGGGCTGTCACAACCCTGGGTCCTCAACGGGGGGGTGTCAGGTGAGTGCACAGGCCTGTGTCACAGCTGGTGAAGCAGGGAGGCGCAGGGCATAGGGACCGTCAGGTTTCCAGGGTGCCTCAAATCCCATCCTACAGGCGGGCGTCACTCCTGCTCCTGAGGGGAATTCTACTCCCTTCTCTACAGGAGGACCTCTTGCTGGAAAGTTCCCCACCCATTGAGGGGGTCCTCACTGCCTGGGGGACGGGCTTCCCATTCATTGCAGTGAATCTCCACTCCCTGTGGGGAGCAACAGTCACGTCACCCCCTCTGCTCCGGAGAGGACTCCCACTCTCTTCGCAGGGGAACCACTTCCTGGGGTGGGTGGTAGGTCTTCAAGGAGAACAGCACGCACGCCAATTCCGCAGCCACTGCCCGCGGCAGACATCACTAGCTGATTCTGGAGTTCTTTCCCAGGGGATTCCCATCCTTCTCAATAGAGCCCTCCAGGGACCATGAGCCAGCCGGGCAGGACTGAGGGTGGACCGAGCAAAAACGGTCATTCACTGCTCACCCCCGTCCTCTGCCACAGCCCGAGGACCCACAGGGCAGGAGCCACCACCGTTCGCTGGCACGGGCCTCTGCGTATCTTACAGGACGGCAGCCCGTGCCAGGCACCTCTGCGCAGGGAGCAACCTAAGCCACCTGACACGGCATCACGGTGAGAGGAGAGGTGGGGCCAGGCAGGCTGGCACCCGAGTCCTGGGAGTGAAGCCCTCAGCCTAGAAAGAAGGACCCGGTCATACACACAGGACATCAGACTCGACACTCAAAAGTTCTCTTCATATAAAACCCCCAGGACTCCAGGCTGGACACCATGGGCATCTGTGGTAACTCTGACCTGGACAGGGCAGACTTTGCCCCCGAGAGCCCCAACAGAGAAGGCACCACATGCTTCTCGGGTCCAGGGGCCTTGCTTCCTGCCTGTGTGGGTGTCCACGAAGTCCCCTGGGGTCAGGCCAGTCGGGTGCTGCATGAGCGAGTGACAGAGGCGAGTGCTGGGCGGGCGTGCGTAAGTGGACACGTTCGGCATCCTCCCTGGGGACGCAGAGAAGCGGTGGGCGGCGCTCAGCCCCGTCCAGGCTCAGGCTCCGCGTCCCTCCGAGGACGCATGGCTCCCTCCATGTGTCCGGAGGTCTCCTTGCAGCCCAGCCTGGCCCTCAGCCTCGTCCATGCTGGCGTCATCCCCGAGACCAGCTGTCCAAAGTGCTGCCGGCAGACGTCCCTGTATGTCACCTACAGATGTCCAGGTGGGGGTGACGCCGAAGCTTCTCCAGCAGGTCCTCCTCCACGGGCTCCTCCAGGACATCCCTGAGGTAGGAGGTGGAAACTGTCACCACCAGGAGTTCCTCCTGGGCCAAGCCGGGACACCCTTCACCACGAGGATGTCCCCAGGGCTAAGAGCTGGTGCCCACATGGTCAGCAGGATGGCACAGCTTTGATGTCACAAGACCCTCCTGAAGGCCAAGGACGCCCACGCAGCGTGTGCAGAGAAGTCCAGTGGCCAGCAGCTCTCCCGTCCTCACAAACGGACCGAGAAGAGGGGCATCATGGGAGTGAGTAGAAGCGGAGTGACGCCTGGAGGGGGCCCTGACCTGCTTCCTTTAGCCCTAGCCACGTGGTGTGGACAGAGCACGGACCCTGCAGGAGCCCGCCCACCACCGGCCCTGCCCACCCCGCCCTGTCCAGGCACCTGAACATGAGCTCCACTGTGGAGTGGTAGGAGGGGGTGTGGGCGAAGGCCCCCGGCCCCTCAGGGGGTTGATGCCGGAGGTCACGGCGGTCCCACTTGTGGATGAAGTTCTGGGGTGTGGGGGAAAGGGGAATGGCTGGTGAGAAAGAAGCACAGGCCTGCCCCACCCCAGCACCGTGGACTCCCTGGTGGGGCTGGGCGGCCCAGAGGCTGGACAGCAAGAGTGGGCTGGTCCGAAGCTTTCTCCACTGCCCAAGTGCTGACATTTGGAGGGCCAAGTGTCAGGCGTGTCTGTGGGGCCCTGGGTAAGGGGAGGACCCCTCCGTAAGAGCTGGGTGCCTGGGACCAACACCCTCACCAAGCCCTGCAGGGGTCCCCATACCTCCAGAATCAGAGCCAAGAACAGGTTGACCCAGATGACAGACGACACCAGCCACCAGGACACAAAATAGAGCTTGGACCACCTGAGGGAGTTGGGGTGCAGCTCAGGTGAGCAGAGCGGCCAGCAGATCCTGGAGGTGCAGATCGGAGCACCGGGAGGACAGGCCAGCGGTGCCGGCAGCTAGAAGGCCCAGGCGGGGTATGGAGGTTGTGCCCCAGGCTCCCCCTGCAGACAGCACCCCAATTCCCACCATGAGGGCCCCATACAGAGACTGTCCACCAGACTCCCTGTGCAGAGAGCACCCCAACTAACCACCATGGGGGCCCAACGCAAACAGCACGCCAATTCCCAACATGGGGGCCCCAGGTAGGGACTCTGTCCACCAGGCTCCCCATGGTGAAAGCACCCACTTCCCACCATGGGGGCCCCGTGCAGGGGTCCAGACACTGCTCATCACTGGGCAGACATCACCCCAATTCCCACCCCAAGGGCTCTGTGAAGAGACAGGGATGTTGCCCATCAGGCTCTCCTTCCAGACTTCCCAGCCTGACCTGAGAGGTTCGGTGGGAGGCGGACTTACGGGCCGGAGTAGCGCCGGTATGCGTCCATGAACACCTGCCAATTGTTGACCACCATCACGTTCCAGAGGGTGACCAGGGCGGCCTGGGGGAGGGGCAGAGGGTGACCAGGGCGGCCTAGGGGAGGGTGACCAGGGTCACCTGGGGAGAGGTGGTGAGAGTTCCGGGGGAGGGGGGGCAGTGGGAATGAGGGGGTTATGGGGGAGGGGATGGTAGGGTCCAGGGAGAGCAGGCAGGGGGCCGATGGGTGCACAGAGACCCCTGGAGAAGCGCCCACCGCAAAGTCATCGAAGTTGTTGGGCCAGTACTCCAGCTGCTCGAAGGTCCCGCAGGACTCGGAAGTGGTGTTGTTGGTGGCCATCGCACTGAGAGGACAGGGCGCTGGTCACTCACTGGGGGTCCTGGACACCTCGCCTCAGCACAGGCTCAGGAGCGGGCCCCGCCCCCAAAGCCGGTCCCCCCTCCTCCCCTCTCCTCCTGCCCTCAGAGCCGCTCACCTGCTGTTTGTAGGCACCACTATGGCGCCCTGGAAGAGGTTGATCCCAACGATGGCGAAGATGTAGTACACCACCTGCACAGGGAGCCCGGTCAGCACGCAGGCTCCTCAGTCCCCACAGCAGTGACACCAGGTGGACCCAGCAGTCACTGCTGAAGGGACGGGTCAGTCGCCCCCCAACCCCATACAACACCCCACAGTCACTGGGACACGGGGTACACACGCTGCCCGGCACCCCCTGGCCATGCAAGCACACCGACTCCTCAGGCGGTCACCCGAGGACTCTGTCCTCAGCCCTGGATGGACGCCGACCCCGGGGAGGGGCTGTGCATGCCCTCGATGTCCACCAGACAGCATTCGGGACACTGAGCCCAGACCCCAGGGCATGTGGCTGGGGGGCCTTCTTCCCCCGACTGGTCTATGTCCCCATGGTCCTCACAAAGGACAGGACGGACCTCAGAGCCGGGCACAGCAGGCATCTCACCCCTCACCACCTGCCCCTCCAGCCCCTACATCCCCACCCGAGGCAGAGTCGGCCCAGCATCACCCCAAAACCCCAGATGAGGGGAAAGTCTGCAGGAATATCACCCCAAAAACCCAAAGATGAGGGGCTGAATCTTCAGAAACGCTATCAGCAAAACCCCCAGATAAGGGAAAGTGTCAGCAGGAACGTCACCCCAACAATCCAGCTGAGTTGCAGAGTCTGGACAATATCACCCCAAAACTCCAGCTGAGGTTCGAAGCCTGCAGGACTGTCACCCAAAAGGGGGGGACAGTACCTGTAGGAATGTCACTGCAGAAGGCCAGCTGAGAGGCAGAGCCTGCAGGAACGCTATCACGATAAACCCCTGGGAAGGGACAGGAAGGGCGCCCCCAAACCCTCGCTGAGGGGTGGCGTCTGCAGTACCACCACCACAAACCCCCTCAGATGAGGGACAATGTCTGGGAACATCACCACAAACCCCCTCAACTGAGGGGCAGAAGGTAACCCCAAAACCCCCAGATGAGGAGAGTGTCCGCAGAACCATCACCCAAAGATGAGGGGCAAAGCCTGGGGTCCCTGGAGGCTGATGGCCAGTACCTCACAAATGTCCCCACACCAGTGTCTCCACAGGCCCAGGAGGAGGGACACTGGTCAGTACTTGCAGGGTCAGGCTGTCCCCAGAAACCCCACCAGAGGCCAGCCTCTCCGCGGGTCCACACAGCGAGGGTCTGCCCCTGCAGTGACACCGTCCCCTCCCACCACCACCCGGGGGTCCACACCACAGGGCGCTCACCACCAGGATGCCAGCGAAGGCCCGCATGTTCCTGATCAGGTCCAGGAGCGTGTTAGCCACCACAGACATCATCTGAGGACACAGGACAGCTCTGACTTCAGCCCTCAGGGACCCTGGACCAGGGTAGGGAGGGGGTGGGGGCTCCAAGATCTTGGAGGGTCACAGCCAACCCACACATCAGTGCTGCATATGCTCACCCACGCCCTACACCTGCGTGTGCTCACCTGTAACCTGCGCCTGGACACACGCTCCCCCACAGCCCACACCTGCTCAAACACTCACACCCATGCGTGTGCTCACCTGTAACCTGCACCTGGACATACACTCACCCACAGCCCACAGCTGCTCAAACACCCACACCCGTGCGTGTGCTCACCTGTAACCTGCACACTTGTCTACCCTCCCACTTGTATGTACATCTAAAAACCCATATATGTCACACACCTATACATACGGCCACACAGTCACCTACACTACATACCTGTACACACGTCTACACAATCTGTGTCCTCTACCTGTATGTATATACTGCACACACCTCTGTACCACACATCTGTATGCCTACATCCACAAAAACACATCATACACCTGTACACTCACTTATACCATACCTGTGCACACACCGTGGTATGCACACACCTACACAAACACACCTGCACACTCATCTACACCAGGCCTGTACACGCATTTGTCTGTACACAGCTATACCATACACCTGCACACTCATCTATACCATACCTGTACACACACACTTGGATGCACACATCTACACCTGTAAATACATCTATATGAACACATCTATACCATATACCTGTACACTCACATCTGTATGCACATTTAGACTACATTTATACCTGTATACCACACCTGTACACATACGTGTATACACACAGCTACACCATATCCCTGTACACACACGTATGTACATATATACACCATACACCTGGATACATGCACACACTTGTATACACACTTCTACAAACACACCACACCCTGGTACACTCACCTATACCACACCTGTACACATCCCCTTGCATCTATACACACATTTCTATGCACTCATGTCTCTGCAGCCACCTGCATAGACATCCACACACCTATCCACACTGGCACGTGCTTGTACTGACAAGCACGCGTACCTGCACACACCTGCACACACCTGTACACACTAGCATGCACGTGCCCTGTTCACAGTCACACATCTGTATGGAAACCTCTAGACTTCTCTCCTGCCGTCTCCATAACCTGCGCATCTCCATAAACACAGGTCAGGAGGCCCATGCACCTGGATACTCACAGACCTACACACATACCACGCACCTCCACATGCTTCCGTCAAGCCACAACCCTTCCCTAACACCCGGTGCACACCCATGTGTGTACACAGGCCCACATGCCATCCTCATCCCCAAACACCTGCACACACACCCATTCACACCCACTCACCACTGCACCCATGTGCACATCCCCCCCAGATACCATATACCTACAGTACCCTCTGACGTGCACCCCTACACCCATCTCCATCCACATCCACGGGCACAACCACCCACCCCAGTGCACACCCATCACCACCACCGCACACGCCTGCATTACACCAAGTGCACACCCATCACCACCACCGCACACGCCTGCATTACACCAAGTGCAC